GAGAACATCCTGACTGAAACTGATTGAAAAATTCAGTTGAGCAAGCAAACAATTCCTGCTGTAAGCCTCAATAAATCTCTGAGCTGTCCCAATAAGATGCATTGCCTGAGCATAATTTTTATTATATATTTTTCCATGAGGTTCTGTAAGAATGTTTTCAGCTTCAGCATATCTTATGATTTCCCAACTCACTTGTATGAAATATCTGGAAAAATACAAGTATCCAGGCCAAACCACAAAAACAAAGCTGGGTGTTCATCTCCTCAGAATCCAAAGACGGTCACAAGTCCCACACCCCTGGCATCACAAGAGTCATGATGTCAGTTTGGTGAAGAACGATTCTTTACAGTGTAAGTGTGACTGTGCCATAGAGAGACAGTGTAGTTATGCCACATCATTATATGTTACAAAACACAGAGGACAAGTTAAACTTGCTGTTTCAGCATGAGACATTCAGACTGCTCATGGACAGCTGAGCCATGGGCTTTACATAAATTAAGGGTACGGAGGCAGAGAAAATCAACTGGTACAAACTGAAGTCCCAGACAATGCTGAATTCAAAACAGAAATTGTATGGTCTCTGATAACAGTGAGTATTGTCATGTCAAATGTCCAACAACCATACGCTTTATCACTGCAGACAACTCGTGATAAACACACTGTCTGCTTCATGTGGGCCAAATGCCAACTTCCTCTTCTCTGTTAATCATCATGTTACGACATAAAGATTACAAACAGAGATGATATAATGAAAGAGCATGTGGAAGTATGGTTTTGTGTGTGTGTGTGTGTGTGTTTGAGAAGTATAGGTGAATGTAGGTAGATAAATATAAAAACCTTAAAGCTACAGGGGATGAGAAATTGCTTTTCTTCTTCATTTCGAGGTCGCAGCATAAATCTTAATTTCTCTCAGCTTACATCCTCAAATAATTCCTTCTCAATTTAATTTAACCTGCTCTTTTCACAAGATGTATGGTTCCAAAGCAGCTTTACATAGAATAATGCCTTACAATCTTTAATGACTGAGACAAAGGCAAAAATTAAGATGATTAGATAGAATGAGGAAGAAACCTTGGCAGGAACCAAGACTCAGCTGGGGAGTCATCGTCATCTGGCAACCAAATACTGAAACATCCTGTAAACCCTTTACAATTAGTTTCTCCTTCACTTCATCTTTGTGCATGTGCAAAAAGGCTTTAACTTCATATACTCTATACTGTGTTTCAATATGATATATTGAAAGCACATTTATTCCAATGAAGAACTGTGTGGAAGACCTCTTTGTCCTAGTTATCTCTAAATCAAGGGTGTGAAGACAAAAGCATCAAAGAAACAAGGTTGCTTGTAGATTCTCAGATCTTTGACATTCTAATAGAGTATCTGCTGCACAAATGTTACACCTCTTTTAAAATGAGCAAAATTCCTTTGCTGCATTTTGCCTCATGCACCCTTGTGAGGAGTTAAGAGTCTAATGTCAAAAATGTTTTAATGCCAAGGTACCTATTGAGAATGGACCCCCCCCCCCTTCTGTTTTAAAGCTATATATTTAGCAGCTTAACAGAACATAGAAAAGGCAACAGAGTAGGGCTGCACGATTAACCGAAATTAAATCACGATTAGGCAGAAGTTGCGATTGTCATGCATATCTTTCAGTGAAGCACGGTTCTGTGATCAGCAGTAAATATCCATCCGAAGGCCAGAGGCCACTCTCGTGCTGAAACTCCAAATGCGCCTCGCAGAAGAAACCCAGGAAATCCCTACAGCAGTTGCTGAATAAACAGAAGATTTAAAGGGGTCATATGACGTTGCTAAAAAATAACATTATTTGGTGTATTTGGTGTAATGAAATGTGTTTATGCGGTTTAAGGTTCAAAAAACACATTTATATTCCACATACTGTACATTATTGTTTCTCATATGCCCTGCCTTTCTGAAACGCATCGATTTTTACAAAGCTCATTGGTCTGAAAAGCGAGGTGTGCTCTGATTGGTCAGCTATACAGTGCGTTGTGATTGGCCAAATACCTCAAGCGTGTGACGGAAATGTTACGCCCCTTACCATACTGGGATGCCGTGTCCCGCTGCAACGAGACAAAACCAATAAAACCCATTATAAACGAGGCATTTGTAGCATCCAGTGGGGACATAATTACGGATTATAATGACTTATACTGTCTTTTTACGTGTTGTGTTGCGTTGCGTATCGCACCGCGTAAACATAAAACCATGTCTGCATCTGTGATCGGAGAAACGACAAACAACAACCGCTACTTTACACTGCTCAAACTCACGTTTGAATCACTGTGGCAAACCCTTCAAATATGAAAATGTACTTACAGGCTGTGAGTCAGCATTATTTGTCAGAACACCGGCATTGTAGACAACTCTCCCAGGAAACAGTCTTCGTCCTCCGTAAAATGCGTTGCACACATCTGAATATTTGGGTTGAACTGTTCTGGAACAGTATTGTAAATACAACTTAACCACTGATTTCTAGTTGTGTCCTCTTTTGGAAGGCCAAACAAAGCAGTTTCGCTTTCACAACGAAACACACAGCGTCTCCACGACATGGCGGCAACAATACTACAGCGAGAATCAACGTTACGCCTTCTTTCTTTGCGTGAACATTTGGGCGGTGTTGTGTAAATCTTCCCACACAGTGACAAAGACATGTGGGGGGCGTGTTTAAATGAGGTGTTTTAGGATGCCGTGGACGAGTCTTAACTTTTATAAAGAATATCTCTTTGGGTTTGAGACTTCTCCAAGTCCGAGGTTTTCCCACGGAATTGGGCTACTTTAACACTGTTGCCGCGGGTTGTTTTTCATGTCCACGGGTTGAAGGGACCCCAATAAAGTGATATTTAGCCCCTAAAATGCGAATTTTACCAGGGCAACCCCACCAAAAAAAAGTGTATTTTATCCCCCGGAACGCAATTTTTATTGGGGACCCCCTCGAAACGCTTTTGGACTAGTTTTGAGTAGCAATTGGGTGGGTTTTGTTGTGAAAACCTGGCAACCCTGCTATAGCTGGGTTGCCAGGAGATTATATAACAGAAGATTTAACTGCTTTCATTAATTCAGCGTGACTAATAAACACACGACAACGACAATATATGGTTTATCTGAGTTCGTCTTATTATAATTTTTATTATAATAAAGCATATAATAATGCAATGCTAATCAACATAGCCTTTATCACGGCTTAGAATACTATGAAATATGTTGCGTGCCTTATTCTGTGTAAGAAGCCACATCATCTCACAGAAGCATTTATTTCAAACACTCGACTGACGTTAAGTGAATTTGGAGTAAAAACATGTTAATAAATGTGGTATTTTCACGTGCTTTTAGATGGAGTGGCATTTACAACACAGAGCTGTAGTTCACTGACAAGATACGCAAACAGCTTTCATAATCACAGAACGATTTCTTCGATTTCATAATCGCGCGATTAAATCGTCTGCGAATATGAATGCGATTTTGCGTAGCTTGTCAGTGAACTACGGCTCTGTGTAGTAAACGCTACTCCATCTGAAAGCACATGCTGGAGATTTACTACTAATCACAGAACTGGCTTTACTGACAAGATACGCATGACAATCACATTCGATTTATCGTGCAGGCCTACAACAGAGGCAAGAAAAAAATCCCACTAAAGAATCAATGCAAACCATTACTGAATACATGTACAAAAATGAGAGAGATACATACTAAAAAACAAAGAATAAAAAACTACAATATAAAACACAATACATTGTGTAATTTCTTTCTGAGAACGCCAATGCTGGACCGCTCAGACCGCTTAGTTGTGCCACATTGCCACAACTTCAACTGTACAGTATTGCAATTCAATCTATTAATGGCTTACCTACAGTTATCTCTATGTATAAATCTTGCATAGCAAGAGTGCTTCAACACTGAATAAATTACACACATCACTTTTAAATAGCAGCAGAGGTGCTGATGTTTTCTGCTTTAAAAATTGTCACCTGACAAAAAGCACAAGTCATCTGCAAGACTGCTAAAAATGTAAGCACAGCCTATTCTGCTTCTTTCCAAATAATTTAAGGTAAATTAGGTACGTTTCACAGACACTTTGTATGCTTTATCAATAGTTTTTCAGTTAATTTATTGCATAACATCTATAAATACATAAAAAATACATACAAATAAATAAATTAGTACATAAAATAAATATCTTTAAAATTAATAAATATTTATTTTTTTATTTATGTATACCTCAGCTATAAAAAAATTAAAGATATGTAACTGTGTCTATTTTCTGACCAAAAATAACTCTACTATGACAGCAAACCTCTGAAATCTTAATCATGAAAATGTTTGTCTTCTAACATTATCAAAATTTTTCCTGTAATTACCAAAACACACCTCAACTACTAGCAAAACCTAAAATATTTAAAAACTATGACTCAGTAGTGCCAACTATTCAGACATCTCAGTGGCCACTTCTAGCCTAAACTTGAATTTATTGAGGACTGTCTCTGCCAGTTCTAGTCTCAACTAGCTGCCGATCCTGATGGATGCCACTGGCAGATGAAGCAAGTCTCACAAAGCCAGGGCTTTGGCTCAACAGCATAAGGTCTGGTCCACATTGCAGCTTATTTAGGCCAAAAACGGCCCACTTAGACAGAAAGAGATTCAACTGAAATGTAATACGCCATTTAGTCCATTTCATTTATCTTAAATTCATTAGACCACAGACTAAAAACTAGACTGAAAAAATTAACTGTGGGGCATCACTGCAAACGGTTGTAAAGAAAATGTGTAATCAGAGTAATCATAATTCAGTCAGCCAATCAGACTGAAGCTTGCCAGAATGAGAAAGTAGTATTTTCCAGTTTTGTGTGTAATATGCACTAGACAGTCAGTGAGCAGACTGTGGGCAGTCTGTGGGTGATTGAAACTACTTCTAACCTAAACTAGCTGAACATCCTAAAGGCTGCCTGCCACAGACAGAAAAGGCATCACCATGAACTTACTGAAGCCTGCCACAGCCAGGATAAGCGTCACCACAATGGAGATCCAGGACACCCACAAAGCTTTCTTCCTGTAACTCTGAGCTTCGTGAGGCTTCAGGCGCATGCTGCTCTCCAAGAGATCTATCAAAAGAGTAAATAAAACACTGGTTAAAGGCCATTATACAATTAAATTAAGTGCACTAGGAGAAGAAACAACAGGGGCTGATTATTTACTCACTGGACAGGCATTGAGCCTGAGGAGGGTAGCAATATTAAAGAGCTTTATGTCAGACGCAAAGATGAGCAGAAATGAATCTGCACTGTTAAAGGGGCATTGGCTTTGTTTAATTAGCAGAGCAAAATGGTTTCAACAAGATTTAGATGCCACTAAATTAGGTTTATCATGTATCAAGTCACGGAAGATATGACTTTAAATGCTGTTCGCGAGCAGCCCTGGGAGATCTTTAGCTATTGGAAGATGAAAAAGCGACAAAAGCCTGCTTCCACCTCAGAGTAAAATAACAAAGAAACAAAGAGTCAATTAAACATTAAAATGTATTTGTGATTTTATATATCAGAATGAATTTATATCTTGCTCTTTGACTTCAAATCACATGTCAGTATTGTTCAAAGGTTTGGAATTGGTAAGATTTGTTTGTTTTTGACAAGTATTTTATGCTCAACAAGGCTGCATTTATTTTATCAAAATACGCTAAAATTCAATATATCGCAAAATATCACAACTTTTTTCTGTCATTTGTTTTAAAACGGAGAATTTTCCTGTGAATGCTGAATCCTGAATTTTCAGCAGCCATTACTTCTGTCTTTGGTGTCACATGATCCTTCAGAAATCATTCTAATATGCTAATTTGCAGATCAAGAGACATTTATAATTATTATCTATGCTGAAAACAGTTGTGCTGCTTAATATTTTTGTGGAAACCATGACATTTTATTTTCCAGATTCTTTGATAAATAGGAAGTTCAAAAGAACAGCCTTTTTGAAACAGAAACCTTTTGTAATATTATAAATGTCTTTAACTGTCACTTTTGATCAATTTACCACATCTTTGCTGAATAAATGTATTAAATTTTACTGACCCCAAGCTTTTGAATGTGTCATTATTTTAAACTCTGACTCACATTTATCTTTTTATTTTTAAACAGCCTTGACATGCAGTTCCCAAAGTGTAGGAAACTACATCTGTGTCCCTCAACACAGTCTTTATCAAGACATTATTAGAGATAAATTCTACACCACAGGTCACAAATTTAATCCATGAGTGTAATTATGAATAAGACTAAGTGAACAGAATAAGCAGAACCTGTTGACTGTCTATTGTATAGCCTCCAAGCAATGTTCATATTGTGTTGTGTTTGTCAAGGAGGTGAAATTTAAATATGCCTCAGTCATCTGTTCAAAATTAATGGCAGCTATGTCATGGTGACAGTGGGTGGCTGTGTATATCTTCCCCCATGCTCACCAAACTGATCTGTCGGCCTGTGGAAGTCACATGCTGAGGGTTATGAGCACAGAGTCAATAGGTGGTCAGTCAGTGTGATTGTAGGAGCTGAAAAACAGAGCTGGGGAATGTGGCCACTCACATGATTTATTTCATCAGTCAGGATCGCGAGCATGTTTTGCTCTCACACAAATGTAACCCATAAGTTCCAAACTATTTCCTTTCCGAACCAAAAACACACTCCAGTCAAGCTGAACTTTGTTCTTACTGATCTATTAGAAACCTTTACACACAGTGAGTTTGCTCAGTTTGTATTTTCCCATGCAAACTCTAGACTATAAAAGGAGACATAAAATGAGGCACATAAAATGAGCCGCAACTCAACATAAAGGTCTTGCCCCCACTCCGCCTGTCTGCTAATCATGTGGAAGCAGGACATCCACATGACCCAGCATTTCTTCCATGCTTAATAGGGTTTGCATGAAAGAGAGAAACATTCTTCTTAATGGCTCAAAGGACATCGGCTAAAAGATTAGCTTTTTATTCAACTTGTAGGAAAAGCTGTAAGTGGAATTAAGCCATTTTGGCATTAATGATGTAACTTAGAAAAACAGGATATGCTTTTCTTTAAAAACATAGGCATAATTTTTGACAAAAGGGCTGCATGTCCAAATTCAATGAATAAATATGAAGAAACAGTTTTTAAGCCATATTATTTTAATAATAAATTGTGACCCCATTTGTATATCATTGAGATTAAGTAGAAAAAATACAAAATTTGAATTTTTTCTTAAAACATATAAGACAGGAGTGCCAATAATTGTGACTGCCAACTGGCTATGGCAGCCTAAAGTTTATACTTGCTTTATGTGCCAAGAATTTACTAAAGGCTGCCAATGCAATTCTATCCTAAACTAGCTGTCCATCCTGATGGCTGCCACTGCTGGTTTAAGTAACTGCAAGTCTTGAGCAGACAGACCTTAACTGAAGTGTATACATGATACCAAAATAGTAGACTACCATACATTTTCAAAAAAAGAAATAAATAATCCAAGTGCTGAGACTATAAACAACAGACTGCTACTTTTAACTAAAACTCCTGTTTTTGCTTCTTTGTTAATTTGTCTTTTTCTTAGGCTTCTTAGTCTCATTCTAATGCCCCCACAATTTCACCAGCAAAGAATTGAAGGGTCTTATGAATTATTCAGCGGCTCAAACAGATTGCACAGGGGGGTGCTACAGCATATAGCCACACTCAGATCCTGCAGGTGCAGAGACTAATGCTGCTTCAAGAGCAGAAGTGCTGATATGAGATCAGGTGCACCTCTGAACAGCTCCACTGGAGGTGCGAGTCAGTGTAGATTCAGTTTGAGGAGTAGCAGTTTCCAGTCTTTTACGGCAAAGACGTAACCATCATAGATGGCCAGATCATAAACTACAACATTTGTTCCCTCCAAATGGTTAGAGTTTTGTCAACATGCAAGTTAACAAAAGTTTAAAGGGTTAGTTCACACAAAAATGAAAATTAGCCTGTGTTTTACTCACCCTCGAGGTATCCTAGGTGTATATGGCTTTCTTCTTTCAGACGAATCCAATTGGAGTTATATAAAAAAATTGTTCTGGCTATTCCAAGCTCTATCACTGCAGTGGGCGGGTGTTCCTGTTCATCAGTCCAGAAGACATCAAATAAAGCGCGTGCATCCATAATAAAACATGCCTCATATGGCTCTGGGGCATGAATAAAGGCCTCCTGTAGCGAATCCATGCGTTTTTGTAAGAAAAATATCCATATGTCAAACATAATAAACACTTTTCTTTCACTTCCTCTCTGTATCTGTATCTGTCGTATGCGGAAGCCGTTCCGGCGGATGATGTAGGACATATGCGTTGTGCGCGCGCCTCTGAGATATGCTAGTCTCGCAAGTTTGTTTACAGGAGCAAAGGAAGCAAAGATTCCGTAGCAAAGGAAAACCAGTCTCCTCTTGGCTTATATCGAAATCCTCCGACATTTTTCTTTACAAATACTCGTTCTGTGCTTCTAATTCATGACCGGCGTTTTGTTTTGTTCTCTCTCCACATTCGTCACTAATCACGCAACATCGACGTCTTACGTCATCCGCCGGAAAGGCTTTCGCGTACCACACTTAGATGAAGTGAGAGAGAAGTGTTCATTATGTTTGAAATATGGATATTTTTCTTTCAAAAACGCATGGATTCGCTACAGGAGGCCTTTATGTACCCTCCGGAGCCGTGTGAGGCATGTTTTATTATGGATGCACATGCTTTATTTGACGTCTTCTGGACTGATGAACACAAACACCTGCCCACTGCAATGATAACGCTTGGAATAGCCAGGACAATTTTTTTATATAACTCCGATTGGATTCGTCTGAAAGAAGAAAGTCATATACACCTTTGGATGCCTCGAGGGTGAGTAAAACACAGGCTCATTTTAATTTCTGGGTGAACTAACCCTTTAAGAATGCATAAGTAAAAAAAAAAATATATATATATATATATATATATATTAGCAATAAAAAAAAACATTTTGTACAAAATTCAGAGATTTGATTAAAACACACACTCAGATACAATTTTCATTCACTTGAATCTTGACTACAACTCATTTTAAACGACTAATTTCTAACCACTTTAATGTCAACACAAACACAATAAACAAAGGTATGAGAACATCAAATAAACAACTTCTTATAAAGATTAATATGTATATACTAATTAGTTACACAGAAATTAATAAGTTAAATTTTGTTGTAAGGATTGTCCAATGAATACTGGAGAAAATCGTGACGTAATACAAGCATGCCAAGACACGTCACTGCTGACAACAACGTTGATTTATATAGTAACATAGTTTATGATAATAACATAACAAACGAAATATAGCCTATGCGATGCATTCGAATATCCACAAAGCACTTTTTTCCAAACATGACACTTATGGAGCCGCTTGTGGTGAAGTATCAAACAGACTCAATGCGACACACAGAGCGCGACGTGACGGACCTGAATGAAACAAATCAAGCTGCTCCTTTGAATCAGACAGAACAATATTTTATAGCCTATAGCCTAATAAACAATGCCCATCTATTAACTTACAAGCTAAACGTATTTTGTTATACTCCTAAACATCTGCAACCCAAGAAAGGATGTTTAGTCTCTCTCTGGTCTGTTTCTTAACTTAAACTGCGAGGGGTTTGTGCTCACCTGAATTATTAATACCTTCAAGAGCGCCTGCGTGCTCCACTGGACTGCAACCTTCTCCAGCCTTTCAGTTTTATTCACATCACATCCCAGATAAATTACTTTAAAGAATCTCATTGTGTTTTAAATGCATTTCTGAAACAACTCCAGAAAAGTACAGCTCGATCTGTTGTATGTTATCTGAGGTGTGTTTACCTTGGCCCTCAACGCTATCTGTGATTTTCATCTCCTGGTCCCGGTCCATGTTGAAAGGATCGCCCTGGCTCCCACTTTTGGGTAGGTTCGGATCCTGGGCAGCGGCGCATTGTCCGTTTCGCACAACCGACGGGTCCACAATAGTCGGATTGGGAACAGGGCATGGATCAGAAGTCGTACTGTCTGTCATGTTTGTTTGCTTTCTCTAATCAGATGAAGCCCTCAATATATGATCTCACGTCGAAGTGCGACGCGCAGCCATCCAGTGGCAGCATTAAGGGTAGCGGAGCAGAGATGCGGAGATAAACGCAATCTGCCCAGCATCAGCAACGGACCCCCACCCTCCCACCGAGAACAACTCCAATCCGAGCGCAAGAACTGCAGCCACCCAACTGTAATTTGACGTGGATGTTGTATCGCTGTCTGCTTTCAACATATCTTAGACTTTTGCACATCATCTGATCGAGGCGACAGTTGTAGCCTAGGCTAGCCTAACTGTGACTTGAGAAACGATCTTGTCAGGTGCCATTGATAGCCTACCTGCCACAAATAGCCTAGCTGTCTCCAACCTTCAGTCAGATCATGATAAACTTTATAATATTATGATTGTTTTGCTTCCAAATACGTTTTATTCTATTTATTCAAGTCTTAAATAGGCTAGCAGCAATAACACCCCATATGTTTTAAATACAAAGTGTGATTCAATCTGATATCTATAACACAATTGTGATATTGATATAAATAAGCAGCTTCACACGTTTATATTTTTAGTAATGTTTCAGGGGGGGAAATCCAGGTAAGGTGCGTTCACCGTTGTTCCACATTTCCTTCGCCCGCAATGGGTTCGAGTTGGTCAGACCAGTTGACCAACAGAAAGCTGCTTGGTTTGAAAGTGAATTCTGTGTGAAGGGTCATACAGTCAGTGGACCTTTTTTGCCCGAAATTGTGGAGGAAACGTGGCCGCGCATATTGGCTATATTCATTCACAGCGAACGAAAATACCTCCTAAAGAATCCAAAGCGCCAAGCTTTGCATGTAATCAAGCAACGGACAGGATTTAAATCAAGTGGAACGGAGCGACAGTAACTTTTCCCCTCCCTGCTCAAACCTTATGTAAGGCTCATGATCCAGTCCGGGATTTCCATTTCCTCGTTAGTGAAAGAAACCCGCTCCGAGCGATGAACAGGGTTCGAGGAGGGACAACTGATGGTTTTTGTGGTTCCATTATCGCTCTCTGGTGAGATAAACCCGCTCCCAACTGCAGGCAAAAGTCACACACAACTTCGCTTCCATTCCCGATAGAAAACAACAAATCCAAACAAAAGGTCTCCGTGAACACTATGCGAATTCCACCTCTGCTTCCATAGGTAGCCTATTTCGTACAAATTTAGAAATGAACCGCTCGTTTTAAAGTGTTCTACTGATAGCATATTTGTTATGAAATCCGCTTCGAACATTACAATACACATTATAACTTTACTTAACTTTACAATAAGTAGGCTAAATCCACTTCACCAGCTTATTACTTTTCAAGAGTGATGATAGAGCTACCGCAAACAAAAGTTACTAACTTAACTTACGATAGACTTACAAATAGAATCAATAACAACAGCTAAGTCCCTCTAGAGTAGATTATTTTTGATAACAAGCAAAATATGTTTGCTGCATAAATCAGACGGACTTATTGAAATTGCAAATTCATTCTCTGCCAGCAGGAGGTGCTTTAAAGCGGGAGAAACAGAGATTTCCCCGGTAACGTCTGTACACAAAGCAGCGCTCCACTTTATCAGGCATATAACATGTAAGATGAAATGAAAATGACATCGAAAATGTTCTAAATACAGTCTTCCTTCAGAGGTACAGTGATATAAAAATAAAACACCCGCGCCTCGTTTTAATTTTTAAACGTGCAGTAGGTGCTCATGTTTATTCAACTATAAGCCTTTTGGAAAATCAGTCAGTTTTGATATTGTGGCGGGTCGCCACAAATAAATAAATGTATAGGAAACACATCACACAGGACAACAACCTGAGCCCAACTTCATTACTCAGCACTTTAACTGCGTTTGTAGCCAGCGCCGCCAGACCCAGAAACAATCACAGACCCAGAAACAATCACAGACCGAGAAACAATCACAGACCGGGAAACAATCACAGACCCGGAAACAATCACAGACCGGGAAACAATCACAGACCCGGAAACAATCACAGACCGGGAAACAATCTTTTAATTTTTAAACGTGCAGTAGGTGCTCATGTTTATTCAACTATAAGCCTTTTGGAAAATCAGTCAGTTTTGATATTGTGGCGGGTCGCCACAAATAAATAAATGTATAGGAAACACATCACACAGGACAACAACCTGAGTCCAACTTCATTACTCAGCACTTTAACTGCGTTTGTAGCCAGCGCCGCCAGACCCAGAAACAATCACAGACCCAGAAACAATCACAGACCCGGAAACAATCACAGACCGGGAAACAATCACAGACCCGGAAACAATCACAGCCCGGGAAACAATCACAGACCCGGAAACAATCACAGTCCGGGAAACAATCACAGACTCGGAAACAATCACAGACCGGGAAACAATCACAGACCGGGAAACAATCACAGACCCGGAAACAATCACAGACCCGGAAACAATAACAGACCCAGAAACAATAACAGACCCAGAAACAATCACAGACCGGAAGTTAACTTCAGCGATTTTGCCATAATTTTGTCGTGTGTTATCACGTGATCCTGGTGAGGTTTTTTTTGTTTGTTTTTTGAATGAGAATCGAACCTGTTTAAACCCAATTAATGATGCCTCTTCTCTTTTTTTCCAAAGGAGAATGCAGTAGCCTACTTAGATTAAATACATTTTAACTAAAGACACAGTTTTCTTAAAAGTAGAATTTTGCTGTTACGTTATCAAATTTAAATAGTCACATATCAGCTATGATTTTTTGTTCATATATTTTAAACATTATTCGATATCATTCGCATATGTGGCAATCAATAAAACTGAACAAACTGTCAACAATGAAAATGTTTCCTGCCTGTAGCGTCTGGTAAACCGCTAGAGGACACTGTTGTGAAGGATGTAAAGTAAATAGATAAGGAAGGGCTGATAATTCCTGAATTCATTGAAATACTCCTGAAAGTAATCGCAGACAGCAGTCTCTCCTTATGAATTTTTAAACCTTATTTTTGTGTTTATTCATTTTTAACCATTGGTATTGCATGTAAAAGCCTGCCATATATTTCATAAGTTACAAAGACATTAATTTGTTCAGACAATAAGTTTGAATTCTTGCAGACAAGCTAATACTGGTTGGTGTGTCTCTTCTCAGGGGTTTTCATTGGAAGACAGGACAGGGGTGGGAATGTTTGTCTTCTGTTTCACACTGCTGAACATTCACAACTGCACGAGGGGTGAAGATTCCGTTTACAAGGTTGTCAAATCTTCAGGCCTATGATTTGAGCTCTCAATATCAGCAGAATGAAGATTGATATTCATAATCATATTTTACCAAAGGAATGGCCTGACCTGAAACAGGTAGGCTGCTTAAGGAGGGAAAGTTATCTTTAAATAATGTGCTATCATAGGTTAACCAAGATTACCTTGCTCATAAGATATTTTTCAACAGTTTTTCATTATTTAACATTTCCTTGCTTCTTCAGACAGGCTTCTAAATTGCCCTGCTGGATTTTAATATGTTTTGGTCAGCTGTACATCCGTTCTGTTTTCCCCCAGCATTTAATATACAGAAAATGTCTACATATTAAGAAAAATCTGCTTGTCCAATTTTAGATGATCAGATATTGATGTTAATTGCTAAACCAAAAATGGTCTTTTAAATGCTGAAAGTGTTAAACAAGACTACTACTACCGCTTTACTCTTAAAATGTATGCATCTGTTAAACATTAATGAAAGGGTTTGATCACTAACCCTGACCTTTATTGCTTGTTTATCTGAGCGAGCTGAGGACGACTCTATTAATCATTTCTCATGTCTTAACATGCAAATTAAAAATATATATATTTTACTTTTAAGTATTTAAACTGTATTTATTTCTATCAAATGTATTTATTTGTCATAGTAAAATGTAAAATTGCATCTTAAAATTCTCTTCATGTTTCACAGAGATATGGATATGGTGGATTCATTCAACTGCACCATCACTGCAAAGTAAGTTTAACATTGCAAATATCTGCACTGGAACATGATAAATGTTCTTCTAATACACCCTTTACACACCTGATCATTGCTCATGGAGAAAATCAGCTCAATCTGCAGTTTAGTGTGATGATGGTAGAAGAACACCAGCTGGACATAAAGGGTTCTGCATGCTTGGCCATAGATCCAGCTGGCTTGATCTCTTGCGAGCTCTTCCAGAGAGAAAGTGTGAGTGTGTGAGAGTATGTTACGACCCCCATGAGGAATGAGTGGGCAGCAGAGACAGATCTGATCCTCCACTCAGAGCAGGAGGATGTTAAAGCATCTGCCAACTTTTTTATACCTGCAGGCCTTTAGAGTAATTGGATTGTTCTGTACTGCGCTTCAGCTGGTGTCTCAGGTGGTTTCTGGTCTACTCGGATGCTCAGTTTATTCTGTTCTTCGGTGCAGTCGGAAGAACTCTAAAACAGAAACACTGAATAAACATAAGAATAATGCACAGAACTGCTCATTAAAACATTTGATGTGAGTCACTGTAGCAGCCCAGTTTTTTGCAGTAATTCCTCTTCAGGCTCCACTGCTTTTCTTTTCAAACCAAATGAGCAAGACTTCCTAGAAAGCACGCATTCTTGAGAATATGGGCAGGATAGGAGTGCTTTTGTGTGTGGAAAAAGAGGACAGCAGGCCTTCCCTGCACTCCCTGTCTGAGCAGCTGTAGAGCTCCACATGGGGTTTAGCTTCAGTAAAATGTCAGACTAAAACCAGTTCACCATGAGCACAACAATACCGCTGGTGCATATATAAACACACCCACATATAGACTTTGATAAATCTTACCATTTTGGCTGTGTCTTAAAAACATAATGTACTTTGTAATAAATGAACAACAATATAGACTGAATAACTGCAATAATGATAATTGTAGCAAACATTTTCATCATAATTTACCACTCTGAAATTAAACTAATATTCTCTGCACTGCAGATGAACATTGACTGCTGATGTAAAATGCGCTTGTCATGCTAAAAACTTTGCATCTCCTTCCACTGCATTGAATAACTGTATGTATTTGACCTTTCTCCACACTGCCACCAAGTGGCTGAAAATACAAAGTGTCATGTGGATATGTGGAAATCAGTGAATATAGGCACAGAAATGTCAGATTTGGCTCATTTTTCCCTTTTGAAAAAACAGCATGGGTTTGTGTGTACCAGGGAGAAGCTAAAATGATGAAGGATGGAAAATTGTTTAGAGTGATCCAGGAAAACTGCTGGGATGCAGAGGTTCGGATTCGAGATATGGACAAGCATGGTAAAGACACTAAAGCAGTGGTTATTTCTCAATAAAATTTTGTGTGTGTTTTTTTAGGTGTTTTTTATCAAATAAATAAATAAGTTTTATATCTAAAATACTTATCTACATTTACATTATCTTCAGACCAGTTCAACTTTAGTTCATTGTTATATTTATTACAGAGATTTGTTTTCTTTTTTTAGGAGTGACAGTACAGGCCCTTTCCACTGTGCCCGTGATGTTCAGCTACTGGGTAAGACGCAACATGAAAATTAACATGAGAATTTAAGTGACACACTCTGTCATGTCCTTTTAAAATACTAATATGCACCATTTAGGGGTAAATAAGATACACGTAAAAACTTTTTAGCTTTTGTACCTTACAGTGCCACCTCAGTGACAGCTTTCTTCCCTTTTAATACTTTTTCCCTAAATTAGATTATATATTAGATCATATTAGAGATTAAATTCCTCTATAAATAGACATTCATCACTTTTTCTGCTAAATTCTTTTTGATTGTTCTCTGCATTTCTAAAGGCCAAACCCCATGACACACTGGACCTGTGTGGGATAATGAATGATGATCTGGCTGCTACAGTGAAGCGATATCCAAAGCGTTTCGTTGGGCTGGGTACTCTGCCCATGCAGGCCCCAGATCTGGCAGTACAGGAGATGAGACGGTGTGTGAATCAGCTAGGATTTCCTGGAGTGCAAATTGGCTCTCATATAAACACATGGGACCTCAATGCCCCAGAGCTATATCCTGTCTATGCTGTAAGTCCATTTGCTTTTGGTAGCACATGCCACAGCACACTAAAGTATTTGGTCTCTTTTGTGATTGTTTTGTCAAGTAGTCATTCAGTTTTGTCTCAGTTTGTAGGCCATTTTAAAACTAGAAATATTGTTATTTTGCCTCTTACTACAGGCCGCTGAGGAACTCGACTGCTCGATATTTGTGCATCCATGGGACATGAAGACAGATGATAGAATGGCAAAATACTGGCTGCCTTGGTTAGTTGGTGGGTTTGATTGAGTGTCTTGATGTAACGTTAATATATATATATATGTGTGTGTGTGTGTGTATAATAGCAGATTCTGATTAGTAAATTAAAAACAAAATCTGATTACAATCTTTTTTTTATTATTTAGTTTTTTTCATGTTTTTAAATACATTTGTGGTTTTGTGGAAGACTAGTACTGTGCAGTATGTCGTCATTGTTTGGTCCCATGTTTTTTTCTGAAGGTATGCCAGCAGAAACTACAATGGCAATTTGTTCAATGATTTTTGGAGGTGTTTTTGAAAGATTTCCTAAACTTAAGGTCTGCTTTGCTCATGGAGGTAAAAAAAAAAAATATTCATATTATTTTTTAGATAATCAATTTATCAATTATTGGAGAGCAAAGTGATAACCTTGAGCTATAAAGACAGGTTTTTCGCCATTGCTTGTCTTTTGATGTGTTGTCACACTTTGGGTTCCAGGTGGTGCTTTCCCATACACCATCGGCCGAATTGAGCACGGCTTTAAAGTGCGACCTGATCTTTGTGCAACCGACAACAAGATCAACCCACGCAAATACTTAGGATCTTTCTACACTGATTCTCTAGTGCATGACCCACTTTCACTGAAGTTACTCATGGATGTCATAGGAAAGGTAGTTATTTTATTTCTTACATCAACAGCAACACAAAATCTACCTGTACACTCTTAAAAATAAAGGTGCTTCAAAAGGTTCTTCAAGCGATGCCATAGAAGAACCATTTTTGGTTCCACAAAGAACCATTCAGTCAAAGGTTCTTTAAAGAACCATCTCTTTCTTACCTTTTTATAATCTGAAGAACCTTCTTTCGCCCCAAAGAACCTTTTGTCAAACAGAAAGGTTCTTCAGGTGTTAAAGGTTCTTTATGGAACCATTTAGACAAAAAGGTTCTTCTATGGCATCGTGAAGCACCTTTATTTTTAAGAGTGTATAAGAGGCACAATAATATTTAGTTAGCACCTTACATAAGGAGCTATCTAGATGAACTCTTAACTGATGAAATGGCAAAGATTTTCACATCCAGGACCTTTGTATTCTGGAAATAAAAACTGTGCAGCAATATACACCTCTGATTTTAGTTGCTGTTTTAGTTTGCGACTTTATTTTTAATTTAAAAAAATCTGTTTCTTGCAGGATAAAGTGATGTTAGGCACAGATTACCCATTTCCACTGGGGGAACTAGAACCAGGCACATTAATTGAATCCATGGATGAGTTTGATAGTTCACTAAAGGTAAGATAAACAGCTATCTATCTGTCTGTCTCTCTGTCTATCAATCTGTCTGAACACACTAGGTTTCATTTCAAACATCAAATTGCAAATACATTGTACTTGTCATTTTACAGCTTATCTTCTTTGTACTCTTTTGTTTAGGATAAACTGCTTGCTGGGAATGCTCTGGAGTTTTTAGGACTGTCAAGAAAACAGTTTGAGTGACTGATGATCAAATGTACTAATGTGTATCAGAAGAGTGATTATGTTACCAAAGAGCTGGATCATAAGAATTAAACCTTACTTAATGTGTTTTATTTTGTATTGATTTTTATTTTTACATTTTGTGTAAAAAAAACAACAACAACAAATTGTTAAATGGTTGAAAATGGTTAAATGAAAAGTGTATTAAATAAATTATTTTGAACCACAAAGAATAAGTAATATATACACCTAGATATAAAAGGATGATCCACCTTTAAAAATTAGTCTGATGTTTGCTTTAAATAATGAACTCAAAAGGATTTCAGTAAAACATTTATTTTAAGTTATTACTCCACCCGTTTTTGTACACATGTAAGGTCTGCTTTGCTCATGGTTTTTGAACACATGTAACATCCACATTCATACTTCACAACGACGACACTATGAGCAAAAGTAAACTACAGTTCCCAGCAGAACCGCGTCGTGAGACGTACGTCAAGGACTTGACGCCGCGCGTACGTGACGTATGTGAAAATACGTGAAGCTCGTTCTCTGTTCGTCTGCTGGACGGTAATGGCGGCGTGCCGGGGATCATCGTCCAAATGGTTTTTTACCCGGGAACAGCTCGAAACCCCCCCGTCTCGCCGCTGCGGAGTGGAGCCAGACAGAGAGCTGTCGTATCGACAGCAAGCCGCGAATCTTATTCAGGACATGGGCCAGAGACTAAATGTGTATCCTTCAGACGCGCTGATCAACAGCAGCAGGCCCGTTTCTGTCTCTCGCTGTGACTGTTTGTGTTGCCTTCTCACCGATAATATCTATAATTTTTGTGTACCATGAATATCTGTAATAACGCTGAACTCGGCTGAAATTATTTGAGCTTGTCAATTAATCCCCCTTATAGTAGTAGCGCGCACTTAAGACTCGGGCAGGCGCTTGCTGATTAATGTTAATGTTGTACAAATGATTAACGTAAGATTTGTATATCTATATATCATCTAAATGTAACATCATAATGAGCTAGTTGTACCTTGAATTTACGTTGTTTATGTTCAAGCAGCTCAGGCGCATTTGTGATGTCAGGCACGCGAGCAGGCCGGTTCCCGTAAATATTAAATGCGTTCTGCACTACTAAACCCTGTCAAGGTATGATTTATGTACATATTTTGACGTTTGTTTAAAATATTAGTATTGGTATTTCTGGCAACTTGTATCAGTACGAAACGCGAATACGTAAATAATTCGTAATACGTACGTGTACGCATACGTAATACGTTCAGTCAGTAAATGGCTGAAGTTACGTAACCCTACGTTTTCCTTAACTCTAAACATCAGTTCTCAACTCACAATAAATACTGCCATTGTTTACTTGCACAGATTTTATATGTACCACTCTTTCACCAAATTCCACAGAAATGTAAGTGTTTCCATCCATACTGCCTGCATCTATTACATATACCCTTTTCAGCCATATGAATATTCATGAGCCTGTGCTTCCGCTGGAGTGTAAGAATGGTCTTTCAGTGCAACTGTTAATGCGGTTTCCAAAGTGAAAGTGAAATAGATACAGTATAGAACTCTGTTAACCACAGCAATGAACCTGAGAACAAAATTAATTGGTTCTATATGAATAAAAGCCTAAATGAAATCTGTTCATTTAAAGCGATTGTGTCTCTTCAGAAGACTAAACTGCACAAATCATATAGGCTAGTTTTTATAATCTTTTCATGAACTTTAAGAAATCTTTGTTTACATAAAAAGTAACTTCATTTGTGTTTTAAAGATGAATGAAAGTCTTATGGGTTTGGAACAACATAAGAGTAAATGATGACAGAATTTTCATTTTGAGTGAAATAGCTTTTTAAAGTAGGCTTGCATCTTTTGACATGACCGTGACATTTTTTCTTTCCCCTCCAGACCATCTCCCCAACGACATTATTTCTGGCTGCAAAAGTTGAAGAGCAACCACGGAAACTCGAACATGTCATTAAAGTTGCGCATGCGTGTTTAAACCCCCAGGAGCCTCCACTGGATACAAAGAGTAATGTAAGTCCTAAGTATTATTATTGTTTTTTTTATTTTCTTCTTCAATTTCCTCAAACTTTTCATCACACTGGATAATTTCTGCTACACTTGCATCCATAGATTCTGTCATTACAGAATCAGTCGTCTCACTAGTCAACTCCAAACAACCTGACTTTGATTAGGGTTTCAACTGTTTTTAAAAATCTTGTCCTCTTTTGTCACACGTCTGTCACATACACTGATTAAAAGTTTAGTTCACCCCAAAAAACTCACCCTCTTGTTCCAAACCCATAAGATTTTTGTACATGTTCAAAACACAAATGAAGATATTTTTTATGAAACATGACAGATTTTTTTTGCCTCTATTTCAAGTATTCACCCAAAACTTTGACACTTCAAAAAGTTGATAGAGATCATAAACAAATCCATATGAATCAAATTATTTAATCCAAGACTCTTGACATGATTACACAAATATGAATAAATTTAATTTCGACTATTGTGCACATACGAATGTTAATCACTTAAAGCTTATTGAACATCGTTAAAGGGGTGGTTCATTTCGATTTCACTTTTTTTACCGTTAGTGTGTAATGTTGCTGTTTGAGCATAAACAATATCTGCAAAGTTACGAAGCTGAAAATTCAATGCAAACGGAGATATCGTCTTTTAAAATTCTGGCAGTTTAATGTCTACAAAAACGGCTAGTAGTGACTACAACGAGTTACTTCCCGGGTTCGTGACGTCACAAACCCAGATAAACCCCGTCCTCGGGAAAAGGCAGCAAAGTGGGCAGCTTTAGAGAAGAGGAATAGAAAACTAGAGGTGTGTGTAAAAATCTATTCATATATGAATCGCGATTCTGTCTTCTAACGATTCTAATTGATTCACAAGATTCAAAATCAATGTTTTAAAGCAGCTGTTCTCAATACTGTTCCTCGCGTCCCCTGCTCTGCTCTGCATCTCTCTCTCTCTCATTCAGCTCAGCTCCAGCAATGAACTGTTACAATTATACACTTATTTTCACATAGCTATGAGAAGCTTTAAACATGGACGCGCGTTCAGTTGCCGTACTGCATTAAAGCTTTAATCAGGATAAAACTGTATATTAAAAGCCAACATAAGCAGTAGCATTTACAAATAACAGCTTATCTAAAAGTATGAGACAGCAACAAACAAAAAACATAGACCTACCATTAAAAGCCGTGCTTGCACAGGTTCTGCACGATCCTCTTCAATAATATCCTCTGCTTCTCAATCGAGCTCAAACTGATAAGCAATATTAACAACGCCGTTGTGTACAATACAACCGGAGCACATGCCGCTGAGGAGAAGGGCGGTACGTTTAGATGCGCACCAGAGACGGTTTAGCCAATCGCTACACACTGGGCTAGCTAACCAATCAGAGCCCATCGCCTATTTCTGAGGGAGGGGCTTCATAAAAGAAGGAAATGATCAGCTTGTTTCTCAGAGAAGGGACAGAGCGGTGTGGAATAAAGGTAAATTATGTGAAAAATAATGCGTTTTTTAACAAACGAAGCATTAACACATGTTAGACTGCACCCCAATCAATCAAACACAATCAAGCCTAGAAAAATACCACTGAACCACCCCTTTAAAGGAAGCTCAAACATGCTTGCTTGACACCAATGAGGTTTGATCATGTGTGTCATGCAAGTTCCACTGACCATATTTGAAAGTTTTGAATGAATGAACTTTCAATGGAGAGACAGAGATCCATTTCCAGAAATCCAGAAATATCTCAATTTATTTTATATATTTTATATTCAAGATAAACTAATCTCTTAAGGCTTTGGAACAACATGCGGTTGAGTAAATAATTAATTTGAGCAAACTATTTCTTTAAGAATGACAGAGAGGAGACAGATTAAACAAATGCCTCTGTTATTTCTTTCCCGTTCATGTGAATCTCACAGAACTCGTGACTCCCTTAGATTCTCAATCAAGAACATAAATTAGGCTTACAAGTGAAAATGGACTAGTGAGACACTGACATTAGACATCCAGCATGAAAGACAAATAGAAAAAAATTGTGTGGCAAACAATTAATGTTGCCTGTAATTCAGTTAATGGGTTGAAGATACAGAAAGGCACATTACAAGCCTCATGTAATGATTGTCTATTGAACTTCAGGCATACCTCCAGCAAGCTCAAGAGCTGGTGATACTTGAAACCATAGTGCTGCAGACTTTAGGTAAGTCTATGGAAGGAGGTTTCTTTCAACTGAATATTAGAGTGGACATAGAAGACTTGCTGACAGTGGGTCACTTTTGGAAAAAAACAAAAAATAAAAAAAACATTTCCACTCAGAGTATTTGCCTGAAAAAAGTTGTATCATGACTAAATTCTCCAGAATGATGATTTTGAATGTCGTTGCAAAGAAACCAAATAGATTTTCAGTTAAACTGGGATGTTATTTTGCAGCATGATACATGGGTATCATCTCAACAATTCCACATTGTTTTAAAAGCTTTGGTCTAGCTAATGCATGATTATCTTTCATGATCCACAGGTGTTGATAGCAGTGTGATTCAGCTTTGAATTAAATTCATGTGCTTTATATTGCAGGCTTTGAAATAACAATTGAACATCCACACACTGATGTAGTGAAATGTTCCCAGCTAGTGCGAGGTATAGACTTTCTTTCATATGCTCTCTGCAATCAACTTTAGATATAAAACAGTGCTTACTTAATCTTTGAATCAAACTATTGGCTTTTGAACTATGAGTAAGCATGCAGTTCATGGAGAGGTAAACCTCACTGTATTGAGGTTAAATGGGTCTCATTCTTACTCGTGTGTATAGTTTGACTCGCTCTCATTCTTTTGCCATTCTCTCTCCCTCTCTGTTTACTTTCACAGCAAGCAAGGATCTGGCACAGACTTCCTATTTCATGGCTACCAACAGGTTGTTATCCAGAACCTCATTTGTTGCACTGTGACTGCACACTATAGCTTCCTTTACTGCAGGTTACCCTACCAGTGTCCAACACCCTCCTTGCACCGGTGGCTACTGGGACGCCCCCCCTCTCAAACATGCCCTCAGAGCAGGGTGGGGAGGGGGTTCGGTGGCACCGGCCCCGGTTGCAGTGCGGTGTATTGTACGGGGGATCATTGTTGGCACAGAGGGGTTGAATGCACAATGTGAAGTGTAGTGGTGCTCTTGAACCTCACGTTTGCTTGGGTTACAGAAGTGCATTTGTCTAAAAAAGACACTTTGGTAGCCTGAATAGCAGCTAAAGATTACACAGATGTAAACATTACATAGAAGTCCTCACGGTAAGTACCCAGACCCCTTTGTTTTTTCCTATGATTTTGTTATTCTCAAAGTGATAATTGAACCTTTGTTTTGGTCTTTCGTATTCAGACTATTTAGAAGTACATTTTTTATTTATTTTAATTTATTTTTGTCATTCAATGCCTGAATTGATTTTGAGATATAGACATCTGTTGTGCTGCCGTTGTGATATACCTGTTTTAATGCAATTTAACCCATTAAGGACCTGTTTGGTTTTCTATTTTAATTGATTGGCTATGTATTTTTATACCCATTATAATCTTTAAAAATTGTTGGTATCAGGTGTGTAACAAAAGGTCCTTAAAGGGTGTAGTCGTCATTGTAATTTAATCAAATAGAAGATTGTTTTTTGTGTTTGTCCCTCATTGTGTAGTTATTGTCTTCATTATTTTTAAATCAGGTTAGCTGCCATTAGTGTTTGCCCCCTTGTTTGCATAGGGATACTGCAGCATTGTATACGATGTCTGAACATGGGACTAGAGCGGCATATGCTCAACACATAGTCTGCATATAAATGGCCATCAGGGTTTTTTTTGGCATTTGTTTTGCCCTCAAACAAGAGCATGTTACCCAAAGGATGTGGGCTGTATAGGTTTTGATACACAATTAATGGAACTTAACTGATAAATTAACCCCAGTCTTGTATGGCCAATGTGTCCGATGCTGGATGGACCTCATAATTTTTATTCCCTTGTGTGTTTATCCTTGCATTTATTTATTTTTATTATTCTTTTAAATTTAAGTAGAGGCTGTTTTTTTTAGATCTTGATCACCTATAGCTAATGCAGTTAATGAATGTTGCAGATATCATTTGTCTTTGTTGCATTAGGATTTAAAGGCTCCTCTTACCCCATGTCCAAACATTGATTCTGTTCTGTAGCACAGGGTTACCATCCAGCTTTGACTGAGGATTCATTTTATTGTTATTTGTCTCAAATGTCAGTACAACACTACTATGTTCAATGTAAGATTGTTAAAAGATTGTTAGCATTTTTCTTCAGGGACTATTGATGTAGTTCAGATGCATTTCCTTTTTTCCCCTAGCAGAACAAGTAACTACCTTCCACATACTTTAAAATACTAACATTGTTTTTTTAGAGATGTAGACAAGTTTACAGAGATTAAAGAATAAGCACTTGATGAGGCCAAACAGTCAGCCCTGCTTTGTTTTTATTATGTGGGGTTGCAATTCTTATGTGGTAAATATGGATGGTAACCATATGCTTGTTTGCTTTATTGTTCCCTATGATTCTGTTGACTGAAGGCTTTTATGCCTGTTATTGAATGTACAGTAATATGTCAGTATCAAATTTATCCTTGATTATGAGTAACAAACCTATTGTTTTTTGCTTGCACAGATTGAATTCCACAAAGTAAAACTTTTTATAGAATCTTTTTTACTTTCCACTGCTATTCTAAATTTAAAATATAGGGATAATACAATTGATCAGCTGCTGATCAGAATTGGCTGATTGCACTCCAACATTAGGCCTTATAGACCATTTCCTCTTATGCCAATCTGTGTATCTTTACATGGATAACTTTAGTAATCCTGCTTTTTAAGTTTAAAAGAAAATCTCGATCTGTGCTTCCCTTCTCTTGTTGGCTTTTGCCCTTCAGTTTGTACCCATTGTAAACTACTGAGCACAAAACATGACTTTTTTTTGTAATGTCGAAATTGTAAAATGTTAATAAATTGCATGGTGCTAAATCAAGTAGTTTCTGAACTGTGCAGGTAAATTTTTGAAGAATGTTACTCACGACTGGGGAATATCTTAGTGGCTTCAATGCTTTCATAATAGTATTCTCTATTCTGTTAAATTTTAACACTGCCTTCTAGGGATGTAACGATTCACTCGACTCAAGATTCGATTCACGATTTTGATTTCACAATTCGATTTTCTCACAATTTTTTTAACAAAATGAGATTAAAGACATTGTACAGTAATTGGCTATTGCTGCATGTTTCTTTGTGAAATTGAAATATAACAAAACTAAATTGAAAATGTAAAACAAACCCCAAATCAAACAAGTTACACAAATAAAAGAAATATCTTAATATGAACAAACTAAGGCTTTGTCTGTGCTCTTTCCATTTAAAATTAGAAGCAACCACTGGATTTTAATCACGATCCAAACAAAGATGCAGCTTGAGTACTTTTTAATCTAAAGTAGGCTCTATAATTTCGAAATTTGAGGCAAAAACAGAATGGTCTGACTTCAATTTTGTGAAACTATACTACATAAAACATATCTGAACGAAACAGCAGACGAGCTGAATGAGACGCAGATTCACTCTCTGACAGCAGGAGGCACTTATGAACAGCAGTGATACAGTGATTCCTGGGTTACCGCTGTAAACAAAGCAAAGCTGCACTTTAGTGATGGGAACTTTAGTGACTTGGACCTTTGAGTCTCGTTCAGCATCTTTTTGGAGTCATTTCGTTCATTTTAGCAAAATTTAATTAAAATGTTATGTGTTACTTCCCTAACACGTCTGCTACTTGCGCAAATGTTGATCACACTACAAACTAGGGTTGTGCGATATTGAAGAAAAATGCGATATGCGATACCTTGTAAAAAAAATGTGATATTCGATATGCGATACGATATTGCTTAAAGTGTGTAAAATCAATTTCAATTATATTTAAAAATGAAAATTATATAACCAATTTGTTTCACATTCTTTCTTGGAAAAGAAAGAATCACTACAACTTCTGAAAGTGACCAGCAGTGTTTTAGCATTACATAAAAAGTAATGTCACAAATCAGAAAATGTCATTTTAACATCAGTGTGAACATACAAACAAAAAAAATGAATGACACTAATAATTTTATATCATTGTAACTTTGCTTTCCATACACTTTAAGTACTTCTTCATATACCACAGCAGAAACTATAGTCTGAGAAAGTTCAAACATGATTAAAGGCAAGTGAACAGTCATTAAAAAAAAAGAAATACACAATTTACAAGCATAGATAAAATAAACGGTAGTATTCAGATACAGAAATGTAATAATTAGGTGTAAAATAACACTGCATAGTGTTCACTGTCTGAATTAAATTTAGATTAATCTTTGTTATAGCTGTTTTGTTGTTTGATTAACATTAGTGACATATTCAGCAGCACGTATTTATAGGCTGCTGTCCCTTTAAATCCGACTGCACGGATCCAATATGATACACATCCGAATTCATTTAAAACATAACCGACTGCGTTTACGAGAATGATCGTCGAGACGGGTACTATTGACATAATTCTGTGTATGCATCTGTTCAAACATGAGGAGATGCGAAAGACGAATCAGCTCAGTCTGAAACACGCTTTGCACGTGTGCGGCAGAACTGAAGAGAAGGGATGGGCGATACCCCTTATTTTATTTTCGATACGATACTGATATTTTTCAAGGCAGTATCGTCGATATCGATTCGATACTTTTGCACTAAACTTTTAAATTATGAAATTTATTAAATTACTAAGAGTAAAATGGGTAATGAAAACCACTTAACTTTGTTTAAAACGCATTTTAACCCGTTTAATCCCAAATTTTTCCCAGACATGAAAATATCCAAATGATGTGTCATTAGTAACCCTTGAAATAATCAAAAAAAAATTTTTTTTGGAAAAGTGTGTGAATTTTATTTTATGGTCAGTCACAATTGTAACCGGTGGGATAATGCGTATACTGAATTAACATATTTCTGCAGTCTTAAAAATTGTTACATATCTTAGCCCAGCTATTTTAAACTGTTTGATCACATTCTAGGGTTACTATTATGCATAAAAAAAACCCTTACACAACATTGATAGGAATACTGAGATCAAATACAAAAAAATACAACCATCAACGTATTTCAAAATTGTTACTTTTTTGTAACATATATCATCACATTTTTATATTAGTGCTACCAGTATTACAACATTAATATTCTAACTTATTTGTAACATTTGAACTTTTGATTTAGTGCAATATTTTGTACTGCCATTAGGGACTGCCAGTGAATGGCTGTTGCATGCATAAAATGCAACCTTTTTGTTCTGACAGTGTATGATTTCTATTAACATTACAGAATAGAACATGATCAATATTATCTTTCAATGTTCAATTTAAATAATTGTAATTGCACAAACTAAGTAGGCTACAATTTCAATTTGTTTATTGTGAAATAACTAAAACATTTGTGTTTTTTTTTCAGTCCGCTGATAAGCTTTGTTCAGGGCTGCCATTCCCAAAAGCTTTAATGCTTTCTTATGATACTTTTGGGAAACGCAGCCCTGTTTGAATGCATTGTCAGAAGTGAGTGAACGCTCTCTGTGATTGATTGGTTCTGTCTTGCAACATTTGCGTGTTCAGATGAGCAGGAAAATAGTTATATCCTACACAATTACTCGCTAACAAAGGTTATTCGTCCAATTCAATGCATATTGTACGCATTATTATTATTATTTTTTTTTTTGTTAAATAAAACCACTGGTAAATAAAATGCACCTTAGTATCGATATTTTTTGTTCTCGTGTCAGTATCGATATATCGATACTTTGGATCGATAAGCCCATCCTTACTGAAGAGACTCTGCGCGAGATGCGGCTTGTGCGCGCGCTTCAGGTGTGAGTCAGACAGCAAGACGAGACGGCAAAGATTTGTTTTCTGCAACTTATTGCACGTAACTCTTCTTAACGCAATTCTCTGCTATATGCCTCGAACTAAAACTTTGACCTTTTGCAACGTTTTGATTTAAGTAGCCTATTATTAAAATGATTCGGATATCGCACGCCCTTGCGATATTTCGATATATCGTGCAGCCCTACTACAAACAATACAAAACTATAATGCTATTTGAAACAGAAAAGATTAATTCATTGTTTACCTGGGTCTTCAGTGACAGCCCCATAAACTTAACCAATGCCGTCTGAGCCGAAAAGAGAATTAATTAGTTAATCTCTCTCAAGTTTTCGGGTTTGAGTCGTTTGTTCATCACGTGACAGCCCCATAAACTTATCCAATGCAGTCTGAGCCGAAAAGAGAATTGATTAGTTAATCTCTTGAGTCTTTCGAATCATTCGTTCTTTTGTCACAAACGGGTGCGTAGTTATTATTATTAGTAGTAGTAGTAGTAGTATAATTATTATTTACTCTTACAGTTACGTGATGCGTTTCTGGTCTCAAATTGTAGCATTTTACTTCTTACAGTTTATGAATGTCATGATGGTTATTTTCCATAACACAGAATGTTGTAACAGGTTATAAAGAGTTGGTTATTGTTTTTAAGTCTCTTTCCGGCTCTGCATAGGTTAAGCTTATGGGTCTATCACGTGATGAATGAATGACTCAAACCAGAAGACTCGAGAGATGAACTAATCAATTCTCTTTCCGGCTCAGACTGCATAGGTTAAGCTTATGGGGCTGTCACGTGATAAATGAATGACTCAAACCAGAAGACTCGAGAGATGAACTAATCAATTCTCTTTCCGGCTCAAACGGCATAGGTTAAGCTTATGGGGCTGTCACGTGATGAACGAACAACTCGGAAAAACCTGAAGACTTGAAACCGGTGAACTACTTGTATAATTCCAGAACAGAACCCATAGGATGTTGCGCATGCGCGACTGAAAGAATCACTCCCAGAGATGACTCGTTCTACCCGAGTCACATTAAAGATTCGTTCAAAATTAACGAATCGTTCAAGAACGACCCATCACTACTGCGCTTATGAACACTACTTTAATATGCATTGTTCAGAGGCAAGATGAAAAGAAAATACCACGTAAACTTTTCTAAAGATGGTAAGTTCCCCTCAGAGATACATTCATGTAAACTCCTACTCCAGTTGTATCGCGATTTGTTTGGTGTTTCAACTGATTTGAATCATCACATATTTGAATCTATTTTCAACCGGCTCGCAGTTCATCGTTACATCCCTACTGCCTTCTATCTGCTAAGTGACTGATTGTTTTGTGCTCTTTCTTTGTTGTCTTTTTTCTTCCTCCATAACGTGCTGCTCTTGCAGTCTGCACCTCACCACCTTCTGCTTGCAGTACAAGCCCACAGTCATTGCCTGCGTCTGCATTCACCTGGCCTGCAAGTGGTCCAACTGGGAGATCCCTGTTTCCACCGATGGAAAGCACTGGTGGGAGTATGTGGACAGCTCAGTTACACTTGAACTTCTTGATGGTAAATGGACATTCCCGTAAATTACAATGTAAGGCTCATTTTGCACTATTTGCTGTCACCCATGATTTATATTCATTAAAATTTTGTTGTAGAACTGACCCATGAGTTTCTGCAAATATTAGAGAAGACACCCAGCAGGTTGAAGAGGATTCGTAACTGGAGGGTAAGTGATTAGAATAGATAAGTCATGCATTTGGTGTCTTTAAATTGGTTAATTTGGATAACGCATAGTTGTTGTTGTATTTATTTCTAGGCTACACAAGCTGCTAAGAAGCCCAAATCAGATGGTCAGGCCTCAGACAGCAGCTCTTTAGCGGGACCTTCATTAACCCAGGACATGTCCTTGATGGATGCCCTTCCCGGGGTTTCTACAAATACAGCATTCTCCAAAGCCTCAACATCTTTCCCAGTGACCCTGCCAAGCAACTCAAGCAGCAGTCTTTCTCTTGATTCCATTGCCAACATGCAGGGAACCTCATACACTTACACCGCCCCCAGTGACTGGCCTCAGGACCAGGTGCACTCAGACCAGTATTCTGTCAAACAGCTTCCCCCACACAGTTCTATGCATCCACACCGGCCTGACAAAAGCGCAGAGTATAACCCTGCCAAACATGAACACAAGGCCAGCGGTGGGGCAAAGCACCAGGCCACGGCCTGTCCTCCACCTGCAGCACCCACACAAAAAATGTCTCTGGACAAGTACAGGGAGAAACACGCTGCTGAGCTGGCTGTGCAGAAACGCAGGCAAGAGCAGCAGAACGTGGAGACGGAGGTCTGTGGTGCTCAGACAGATCACCACAAGCACCTGCCCCAACTGTCTCACGTGCAGCAGGGAGCAGGAGCCACCACTGCCTCACCTCTGAAGATGAAGCTGCCCATACCTGGGCAGGACAAACGCGAGAAAGGGAGCTCTTTAAAACTGCGTCTTCCAGTCCCCTCCCAGAGCGAGAAGGGGGGATCAAGTAAGGAGGAGCTAAAAATGAAAATAAAGGTCTCCTCTGAGCGGCACAGCTCCTCAGACGAGGCTGCTGCAAAGAGCAAACATTCCAGCCCGCTTGTGAGCAAGGAGAAACACAGAGACCATTCAGCCCATCGTCACCATAACAAACACGGCCACTCACACACGCACACGCATAGCGGCAATGGCAGGAGCAGCCTTGAGGCACCCGCATCTGGTTCGGTCCTTCGGAGCCCAGTAGGTTCCGGTGGCGATGGCACAAGCTCAGCTTCCAGTTCCTCACGCAAGAGGGTGAACCCCGAAGCCAGCCACAATCACCACTCCAAAAAGAACAAAAGCTCCAAAGGCGGTGCAGGTAGTTCCTCTCATTGTTCCTCTGTTCAGCAGTGTGTGTCATCTCACAGCTCTGTTCTTAACCTTCCCTTCCCCCTCCCCCTGTCACATACCAGGTGGGCTACGGACATCTCAGCACCCTAGTGAAACTGGACAGGAAACCAGTGGAGAGCCATGGCCCTGAGGGTGCCGGCCTAGCTAATGGCCAACACACAGACTACAAAAATACTTTTGACACGCTTGAGTCGCTGTTAAGTGCCCAAGGAATGGACTCTTGAACTGATAGGAAAGAGGATAAAATATAAAATTTAATCGAGCATAGATTTCATTATTAGGAAGAGGAAAAAAACAGGAATGTGAAGAGTAAGAGAAAGAAAATAAAAATGCTTCCCGATCTTCTGGCAGTTCGGTTCAGTCTCTGTATAACTGCTGCTTTCCTCAGTATTCCCTCACGAGCAGTCTATATGAATGCGTGAGCCAGTATATGAATGTCAGGGCCATTATAGTAAAAAAAACTTTTTGTGATTACATTTTTTGCCACAAGAAAATTTATAAGACTGAAAGCACCCTCTAAAATGACTGACGCTCCTCTCATTTGTTAAACAAAGTTAGTAGTAGGAATGCAGAATCAAGATTTAAGTTCCATAGTTCCTTGAATGTTTCTTTGTTTCATTTTCCCTCATCTGATACCTTCTATGTGAGCTGCATGTTAATAATGAAAGGGATGAGATAGTTGTTTACTGATTGTGAAGAAATATTTACATACATTCTCGTATGTTTTAAGCTGTACCATAACTTCTCAGGTTTGGAGCTGCTTGTAAAATATATATATATATATATATATATATATATATATATCCACTGTATATATATATATATATATATATATATATATATATATATATATATATATATATATATATATATATATATATATATTGGGGTGGGGGGGATTTTGTGACTCTGTGTTAGAATCTATCATATTGGCAATTCTAGCACAGCCTTCTAGTGATGTGCTCTAGAACTGGTGTTCCATGTTGCTATCAGGAGAGGGTGAACTAGCAGGCAATCCACACCCTGCCAATTACCTGGCATGTTGTCAGGGCCATGCAATTTGTACCTTTTTTGATCTTCAAGATGACCTTAAGCTGGATGCCAAAGGCTGTGCCTCAAAAAGTATAGTTCTATGAAGTTTACATAACCTTCGCTGTGAAGTGCATTTTATATAATTCTTGGTTTGAAGCAATAGCCTATTTTGTGCAACTCTTTAACAAATTACCAGAAACATATGTGGGTAAAAGGTGATTGAGTTCATTATCACAGTGCTGACCCAAAGAGATCTGGGATTTCATAGGCCCGTAACATTATTTCTGAATATGGATGAATGGTTTTGATTTTGATTCTTTTTAGTGTGAAGATATTGGTAAATGAGGCCAGCATTGTACAAATCATCATTTTACTTTGGATCGCTGAATTGCAGTTGGATAAGGCAAGTGCAAACCCTGGCACACTTTTTTTTGTCTTTAACCAATTTTATTTAGATTTAATAATAAATTCCATGGTTTCCACTACCTTAACCTCAGTCTTTATGTGATCATTTATTGCGTTAAGAACTTATTGGCACATCTGTCAAATAACTATTTCCAGATCTTCACTGTGTTATTTTATAAATTACATTTTTCGCCATGTTAAATTATGTTGCCTCACAATGTCAGTTTGCTTTGTATCATTGTTTTTAAAAGTCACTTTTTGATTTGGTGAATTAAGTTTTCAGTTCATTGGCCTATTGCAGGCTTGGCTGTGATGAGAGATGAATGGATGTCTTAACAGTTCCTCTGCTGAAGGTCGTTGCTTTGGATCTCTGTAAAGAGGAAAATTGTTCCACTGTTATATAACAAAGGATAATGTGCAGAGAACTTGCACCGGATCCGAGCGGCGCAAAAAAAATAACACAGAACCCATTATAATCAGTGATGCTGTCCGCACTGGATGCAACACGACAAATCCCAGACAGTAAACTGATGCCTCGTTCTATTTATGATTAACTGACACCAAGTTCAAATGATTTTTAATGGTCGCTTTGTTGCGTCCAGTGTAGACAGACATTAGCTGTTGTGGCGCGACACGACAACTATCGCATCCGGTGTAGACAGTGTTAGACTAATAATATACAACGAATTAAAAAATTATCACAAAATATCCATAGCAAACATTTCATTTCTGAGTAAAAGTCAATTACCTGGTTAGGCAAGCCTTGACAAAGCTCTTTGCATGTGTAGAGAAGTCATCAGTCAGAGATGGCATTAAGCCCTTTTGAGCCCCAATGTAAAAGAGGGCTGCCATCTTGTTCATGTGAGCAAGGGGTGGCTTTCCAGTGGCCATTTCATACACCGTGCAGCCAATGCTCCAGATGTCTGATTTTCGTCCATGACCTGTCTCACTTATCACCTCTGGTGCCATCCAGTATGGGGTACCATGCACAGACTTCAGAAGGTCACTCTTACTTCCAGTTGAAGTGTGAAGACAGCCAAGACGACGAGCACAACCAAAGTCGATTAGCTTGACCACTCCGTTGGGCATAAGCATAATGTTGTTCCCCTTCAGATCTCTATGGATGACCCTGTTAGCGTGAAGATAGGCAACACCTTCCAGAATTTGTCGAGTGTATAGAACAAAGACCATCTCTGGCAAGGGTCCAAACCGGCTCAAGATGTTTGAGATTGAGCCCCCTGGAACATACTCCATGAAGATGCTTACAGTATTCTCACAGAGAGCTGTGCCCAAGAAACCAACAATGTTAGTGTGATGAAGGGTCTTAAGAAGATCCACTTCTCTCTCCAGGCGTTCATACTCTTTTTCTGCCATCTCTGAAGTGGAAGCATCTAGTGCCACTTGTTTTACTGCAATCAGCTGACCTTGACTGGTTAGCCCGCAATACACCTATGAATAGTAATATAAAATAAAATGTGAAACAACTAAAGTCTTACGTTTGATTATACTTCGAGAGCTTTTTGCATATCATGATTGTTTACGTTAAAGATAAGAAGGGTGCTTTAAAATGATTGCATTTAAATGCTTACTGTTCCGTAAGCTCCTTTACCCAGAACCTCTCCCTTTGTCCATGTGATGGCATCATCTGAGCAAGATCCATTCGTGTAATGCAGTTCACCTGAGAATGAACCCTGATGGACAACAGAAACTCAATGTAACGGCCCATAAAATAGCGCAGGGGTATCCAACTCTGCTCCTGGAGAGCTATCATCCTGCAGATTTCAGCTCCAACCCAGTCAAACACATCTAAACCAGCTAATCAAGGTTTTCAGGGTTATTTTTACCATTATTACTTTGTAAATTACAGGTAGCAGGGCCCCAGACAAAAAAATTGAGTAAGGAGCCATTGGCTCCTATAAGCAAAAAAACGTAGGTGCCAAATTAATTTTTTAGGTGCCACAGAATGAACTTGTTTTATTTATTCTATTATTATTATTGTTTATTTATTGTTTTTACATTTTAATCATACTGTTGTGTTTATGTCTCATCTTTTCTTGACTTTATCAGCATTTTAATCCATCTTGTAGGTGACCTGGGAACTAAATGTCTTTTCTAACTTGAAATATACAGTCACAAAGAATTGTTCATTACACAGAATCTGTACCAATATCATGGACCATAAGCATCACTTGGCCACTGAGTGTAGTTTGGGCTCCTCCTAAGCATCCTATAAATGTTGTCATATTCTTTCACACATTCAGTCTGTTTTTCTTCATTAGTAAAATGCAATTTTATAAGAGTTGAATCATGTAGGCAACAGGTTAAGTAAAAATATTAATATGCAATAGCGCAAAAATATAGCAAAATGCTCCTCTTTAGTTATTTTTCTAGCTGACTAATGAGCTTATGGATACCGAATAGTTATTCTGAGGTAAATGTGTTATAACGTTGCAATGTTTAGTTTTACACGTTTTCCGCAGTTTGACACAGAAGGAGCGATTACATGAGACATTTCAGTAAATTGTACTGTTGGCTCTCTTATAAAATAGCCTACCTTTTGATATTAATTCATGTTCATTATTTATGTATTATAAATGGGTTCACTTGCCGCTTGAACTGAGGCGCTAAAGCGATCGCGCCTGCTGCATTAAAGAGCGCCAAAACCGTATTTGTTTGAATTTCGTTATTAATTTGGCATAATTTTAAAGCTGATACTTTGTTTATTAAAAAGTAACAAAGCACAAAGCTTTTTTGCGATTACTGGACGGCAAGTGCGCTTCATGATATTAAGTTCAAGCATTAACAGAACACAGTATATAGACTAAGATCTTGATAAGAAGATGCCATAGTAATGATTATAAACCAGAATTGTTAACGATATTGCCAATATCCACACAGCTGACAGCTCTACCCGTTGTAGTTTGTTCAAGTTGTGCACGAAATAGACGCTGCTTTTGAGCACTTTCACTTCGCACGTCTCCGTCATTTTCGATCTCTCTCGCGCTGCTCAACTGAGCTGCGTTCAGCAGGTGTGCGTCTGTGCTGCAGAGATGAGCACGGTTTCAAACTTTTTCCCACTAAAACTTTGATGCGCGTCGTCTCAGTTTAATACGTGAACATAACAAAAGATGTGATCGCAAAGCAATCAGGGAAAAAGGGCATTACATGCAAATATATAGTCTTCTTGGCGACTTCAGCGAAAACTTCACTCGCAAATGAATAGGCTATTTTTGGTAGCAAATGCGACCGTTTAAGTCGCAGTCTGGAGCCCAGGGTAGGTATGTTGAAGCAGAGTTGTAGTCTGAATTCTGCAGGAAAGTAGTTCTCTAGGAGCAGGGTTGGTTGATGTACAAGTGAGATATGTTAGAATGTTACCTCATTTAAAAAAATTCTAAATCTTGAAGGCACATTATTTTTTAACTCTGTGCTATCTTCCTTTTCAGTCTTGAGTGTTTCAACATCTCTTCTCTCGAGTGAGATCAACTCCTCTGCCAAAAACCTCAGCAGGTCATCTGTGAGAGGTCCATCGCCAACCTCATCTAGAAAGCTGTGGTACACAGGTGAGACTGTTCCATCACTTGTCCAGGTATTGATAAGAGGCTGCGATGGCAATTTGATTTCATTTGATATTTCAGGTTCACTTTTGGCACCTGCATCAATTGGAGTTTGTTCTTGATTTATTATTTCCTTTATGAGACTTGTTTTGGATACAGTGTTGGAAAGTACTTCCTCAATCACTGATAGTATGGAAGTACGTTGTCTCTCTGGGCTTGATAATTCCCTTCCATCTCCCTCGATGTGCATTTCAGATTTATTTTGCTGGACTGCTCCACAAGCAGAAGTTACAAGGACATAGCATTTATTCTCTGAAGAAGGAGGGTTTTTCTTTATCCCTTTGGTAACATTATCCCTCCGCTTGAGTTGCCTGCATTTAGCTCGACTGGATCTCTCTGATTGAGCTTGTTTCCTTCGGTTAACCTCCACTGTTTTTTGGCCCTTCAGTTTTCCATTGGTTTGTCTTTTAACTTGAAGTGCTGTATGGACCTGTCTGGTTCTCTCTGCAGAACTGTCTACTCTAAGATTTTCATAAACCGGAGTTGCAAACATTTCGTATTAATTGGACAAGTGCAAGCATTTTCTTTTTAATCTTCTTTTGTGATCCAAAAAAAGGTAGCCTAATATGGCTTTAGAACAGCATCAGGTTGACTAATTACTGGTTGTGAAGGGATAAATAAACTATGAGAGCGAGTGAGCAAAATAAGGGTTAGACCTAAAAGAGCACGTAGTTATTGTGTTGGGGCCCCCAAATCACTTAGTCCGCCCCTGAGTACAGCTTAGGGCATTCTGCGACCTGACAATTGCTGATTGAACATGTTCAGTCAGAGAAAGCAAATGGTGAACCCATAACAACAGATGCCGACAGGGGTAACTCATCGATTGGACTAAACCTGACAGTGTCTGTTGGCATTGTTAGCATCTATCTGTGCAATGTGAAATAGCCTTAACTAGTGGATCCAGTTAAATTTTTGGCTTACTGTGTTTGCTTATTCACTGAAATCTGTCAAACCACATTACAGGAAATGCATGTATGTGCATATTTCTGTATGTATCTATTTATCAGTGTCATTTTTTAAATGCAAGCAAATTCATTCCCAATAAACAACTGTCTATACTTACTATTATGAATGTTAGTCCGTGCTTGCAGCAGCACACTTGCATGAAGAAGAGGGTCCATTAGCATTGGTGCTGACTTACTGAGCTGAGTGACATGAGCAGTAGGAAGAACAGGTATTGAGGAAGAAGTCAAACTGAGTGATGGATGCAAGGACCTTATTTTGCCCCAGTCTTTTCTGTTGTTCCATAGGCTAGGCAAGGATGATGTCCGACTAAGTGAAAATAAATTTACATTAGCATGTTCACATTGTTCAAAGCATTTACAAATTAGCTATATCTTCTTTTGAAACATGCCGAATGTTTCTTAACAGTAAGGGCAGAGTTAAATCTTCCTTAGACAAGTTCCCCTCTCTTTCTCTCTCTGGATAATGGTACACCCTGGAACCGTAGTCTTATGCTGACAATGGCTTGATCCTGTAACTGTACTCCTCTATACAGTCTTTGTGTAGAAATGAGAGCCACTGAATGGACATGAGGTTTCATGCAGGCAAATTGTTTGTGAGGACCGTTTGTGCATTTTATGTTTACACAGCTGCTGTTGGTGGTGTTTAAGTATGATTTGTTGGCTTGTGATTGGCTCTCTTGTTTATCTGATTGCTAATTTAATTTGATGAAGAAGCGATGAATGGGTGTGTATGCTGTCAGCTGGCTAACCTGCTTCGCTTCCTCTCATCTCTGCCATCTTGTCTGATGTCTATCTTTGGCTCCATCCAACCCTCAAAGCAAATCCTGTTATCTGCAGACACACAGCCAAATACACTCTGGGTAAAAAGAGTCATGTAAATTGTTCCTCATGGTTATGCTGCGGAGCTAATATAAAAACTGACAACACCTATATTACTGAAGGAGAATGAGATGAGATGAAATGAGAATTATGAGATTTATGAAAAGAGAATATATATATATATTACTTAAAATTCAATTTTGTCTTATACTTACTACTTAAAATTAAACTTTGTCATCAGGAATAAATAACATTTTAAAATAAATGAAAAAGAAAACAGCTGTTTTGATTTGTAAATTGTCTTTCAAAAACATTTTAAAAATCTTAAAGACCACAAATCATTGAACTGTGCATATATACACACACAACTTGTAAACTTAATATATATACAAAATGTACCTTTCACAAAGTCAGTCCTCTCTAAATTAGCCCAAGCTTAAGTGAAACCAAATGTTTTACAGTTCCTGTGAGTCTTGCATAATCCTTATCTGTGAGTGTCAGAGGTTCTCTGTGGATGACTCTGTGTAGTCTGACTCATTTGAAACAGAGAAGCCCAAAAAGTCAGACACACCCCTCCTATTGTCATGGATTCTCTGAGGGACGGTCTGAGACTACTCTTTGTGTGTGTGTGTGTGTGTGTGTGTGTGTTTGTTTGAGGGTGGTGGAACAGGTTGCCAAAGCTTTTGAAAGCCCGGTGGACACAGAGAGTCACTGTCATTCTGGAATGATCTTCCAGGTGTACCTCTGACACTGTATTCTGTCTTCTAGGTTTAACAATGCACAAGTCTAGTTGTTGATTGACCTTGGTGGATATCTGCATGATCCTTTTGTGCCATGATAATCTCAGCTGAATCTTTCTGCAAAAAAATAAAGTTCAGTAAAGGAAAGATTATCAATGTCACAGCTGGTATGCAGCAAGAAACAAAAGCTGTGAGGTTGGCTGTCGCTTACAATAACCTTTCACAGAATCACACATGACTAATTCACCTGTTGACTACTGGCCATCTGGAGGCCATCTATTCAATCAGATAACACCATCATTAGCCAGATGTGATGCATGTGACCAAGATGCAGCCAAATGAAACGCCATGAAGGGCTTAATCAAAACATTTCAGAGTAAATAAACTACATTTAATTGGCTTTGCATTTACAATCCCACTGAGCCTTATTTATTATTTGACACCGTTCATGCCGTCATTATGTTTGTATGCTTTTGTTCACACAGTTCAAATGGATTTCTGCAAGAAACACTGTCAAGATTCATTGTATATAATGAGTAAGAAGTGGGAGAGCACCTGACCTTCATCCCATCTGAATCTGGTGTGCAACAGCCACGTGTAGGAGAGCAGCTGGGGAGCACAGAAGGACTCGTTGGCCAATAAGATGCGTCCAGACACGTGAATATTGTTTCTCCAAAATACAATACAAATACTAAAATAAGTCATCACACTGAGAACATAAACAGGTTTCTAATGAATTGCACTACAAATAAATGAATGATTTTTCTTATAAAACTGTTACACAGTTAAAGTGTTAAACTGTTTAAACAGTTACAACTGGTATTGCTGGTACCACTGCATTCACATGCTTGACAAATAACTTAAATGAAAACATTGATTGGACTACATATAAAATATTAAATGATTATAGCGACGAAAAACATCAGATTACAGTACAGCTAGGGGCGGACTTAACCAATAAGCGAGGTAAGCGGCCCCTTAGGGCCCCGGGTAATCAGGGGGCCCCATCTGATATTGCAGAAACCTATTTGCAGCGTTGAACAATAGCCAATCACAGACATATCTGTTAATTTCTTGAACGCATAATACTTTTTGCATAATAATAGATTACATTTTCGTTTTGTTTCTCGGCTAACCCTACCATACCGTATGCCTTCAGAACACTTTGACTATGGAATGAGTTGCATGGGATAATTTCATCTTTGTAAAAATATTGAAAAAGTTTACAATTTATTAATTGGACAAGTGCAAGCATTTTCTTTTTAATCTTCTTTTGTGATCCAAAAAAAGGTAGCCTAATATGGCTTTAGAACAGCATCAGGTTGACTAATTACTGGTTGTGAAGGGATAAATAAACTATGAGAGCGAGTGAGCAAAATAAGGGTTAGACCTAAAAGAGCACGTAGTTATTGTGTTGGGGCCCCCAAATCACTTAGTCCGCCCCTGAGTACAGCTTAGGGCATTCTGCGACCTGACAATTGCTGATTGAACATGTTCAGTCAGAGAAAGCAAATGGTGAACCCATAACAACAGATGCCGACAGGGGTAACACATCGATTGGACTAAACCTGACAGTGTCTGTTGGCATTGTTAGCATCTATCGGTGCAATGTGAAATAGCCTTAACTAGTGGATCCAGTTAAATTTTTGGCTTACTGTGTTTGCTTATTCACTGAAATCTGTCAAACCACATTACAGGAAATGCATGTATGTGTATATTTCTGTATGTATCTATTTATCAGTGTCATTTTTTAAATGCAATCAAATTCATTCCCAATAAACAACTGTATATACTTACTATTATGAATGTTAGTCCGTGCTTGCAGCAGCACACTTGCATGAAGAAGAGGGTCCATTAGCATTGGTGCTGACTTACTGAGCTGAGTGACATGAGCAGCCACGACCTCTAGTGTTCACCGCGGATACACTGGTGGTGATGTAGTAAACAATAGCTTTGATTCAAATCCTTAAGGGGAAAAAAAGTTAAACAGCACATTATCTAAACGTGTGTGTGTGCGTGCGCATATAGTATATACCCTATATATAGAGAGAGAAAAGCAACTGAATAGAAAACCATTTAAAAAAAAATAATTCGTTTACATTTGATATACTAAATATTTGATTCGAAATTTTGTGATTTTATTATACATTCACATACGTTTCGATATAACTGTTGATTTTTCCATTTCAAAAACCATCACTGAATGCAAAAAATCCATCCGCGGTTTGATTTATCACTCCAGCCGGAAGTGTGTGTTTGGAAAATGTAGTTTTCATGTCATATGCATTATTTAGACTAGTCGATGTATATTGTTTTCACTGTTTTTTAAAGTCTAGCTTGTTTGCTTTGTTTACATGTAAAGTTATGTCTATGTTTTGTAAAGCATCTTGATGACATCATGATGGCGCATATGTAAGTGTACGTCAAATAAACGATATTTTGCAAAGGTGCTGTTGATTTTTTTATTTATTTTTTTTTTTTTTTAAGTTTTATTGCTTTTTTTGGAAGGTTGATATGTAACAGAAATACAACATTGCCATCTCACCATAATTTCTTTGTTTACTTTAAAATCATAATTTTCTTAATGACCACCAGTTGTGCCAGGCTTTTTAAAGAATAATTTAGAAAGGCAAGTTACCTGTCACGTATTTCATGTAATTTTATTCATTTCACTTTAACCTTAATTCAATTACATCAGATTTATTTATTTAGCTAGCTAGCTACGTTAAATTCGTCTGCTTTGTTTTGAATGCAGATGTAGAGTGTAGAATGATTGTCGGCCGTGTGCAATTTTAGGGTTGGAATTATTTGTGGTTACTCAGTCTGGAAGATACATGCTGATTATGGGTCAGAGCCTTCATTTATCTTTTAATAACAGAATATGATTTATATTTTAGTAGTGGGATCGAATTAAAGAGCATGTGATATCTGGAATGAGAGTCTGTGTGGGTGTGTGACGTGCTATAAATAAGCTGGTCTGTCGACACAGTAAGATACTGATGGTTTTTATGTTTTACAGTAAACCTCCAGAAATCTCTTGTGCAAACACAATAGCCCATATTATCTGACCCATTGAGATGGTAATCGACATTTCCATGCCTAATCTGCACACAAAAGCGAGCGTAGCAGGTATTAGACTTCTGCTTCTAATGTAAATTCTCTTTAATGCTACCCTGCAGGCTCTGCACAGCCTGATGGTCCTAATGCCAGACATTTAGCTTTAGGATACAAGTGTGACTTTGAATGGAGATCTAGGTAATTTATGTACATTTATTACTGTCAATGTTTATCTAACTGCATCTCATTAGAGACTGTTTTTTGGTAGTGAATCTTTCCGTGTGGTGCTTTAATGCAATAGATTTTAAACCCTCAATAAACTCAAATTAATTTGTGGGGGAAGGGGGAATTTCACACCTTCTCCCTCAACAGCTCTGACGAACTGGAAATAAATAGAAATGAAAATCTAGCATATCTATATATCTATCTATCCACAGTATCTTTCTAGTGATCTATTTGTATTTTATGTATGAAACAAATATTAACTTCCACAGAGTCACAATGGAATTCAATTTACAATTTTTAATCAGCCTCTGAATTATTGATGAAAATGTAAATGGACTGAAAATGTGAAGAGTACTTGAGTATTTATTTATAAATAGCACAATGGTATAGTTTTATAAATGATGGTATAGTATTAGAATAATTTGTTATTTAAATATGTTGTTTTTTTCTTTATAGCCTACTTTATTTACAGTCTTTATTTAATTGAAAAATGTACCAACATGGCAACAATTTTGCTCAAAATATTCAGCAACAACTTTGTTAAATTGTTTATTTGCAGTATAATTATTTCATTATTTCATTCATGATTAAATTATTTGATTATAAAAAGGGTACACGTATAAAAATAGACATTATTTTCAAATGGTTCATTTCTTTAATTATTTATAAAGTCATAGTCTAGCATAAACAACCAGCAGTAAAAAAAGATTGCATGGTTTGTGTTTGAGTATAAACTCCTTAAATGAATATCCACCACAAAAACAATTGCAGGGAGATTTATATAGGACAGATTGTGACAGTGAGAAATGACTAATCATTTGCAGTTTGTCTATACCAGGCTGGGTTTGATGTTTTGCTTTATGAGGGTTATCTAGTCAGCAGTGTTTAATGTGGGTGCTAACGTCTTATTATATGTGCAAGGCCACAAAGAGGCCCAGGGCCCCTGTGAGTAATTTACGTTGCCGTAGTGACAGAGGTGCTGTTTGAGGGGCCAGGACTGGCAGGGAACGGTTAGGCTGATTTAGTGGAATATTTAAGCCAGTCCACTGAGGATTGGGACAATTGTTGTTTGACATGCACAGTCGCATGCATGTCGCTTGTTTAAACCCCCTTCTTGTTGCTGTTTTTCTTGTCCTCTTTAATGTTTTGGCATTATCTTCTGCACCACCTTGCAAACAACCCTTACATTTGCTGCATTATTAGATTTATTTATGATGCACATTTGTTTCTATACAATTTATATAAATACTGTATATGTACTATTTTTATTCTACAAACCCATCTGAAATTGATAGAAAAACATGCATTATCCTTTCAAGTATACTTGTTCAGGAAGTAAGCTATATAGATTTTTGACTGAATGTGGTCAAATCCTGCACTCTTGAAAAAGCCTTGATGGTCCCCAGATAATATGCATAAATTATTGACTAAAAGAATACATTGTCCTGAACACGTGCACTATTATACACAGCCAGTGTCTGTGTTTATAAAAGATTGTGTTCAGATTCCAGCACATGGATAAAATGTAGAGTGAAACATGTAAATGTCCTTGCCTATTTACAGACTATATACACACTATATATAAAATACTTGTTTGCCTGTTGACAGTGGCTTTCCATTAATTATTCTTTTTCTGTTTTACAAGAATTCATTTCAATCTGCTGTATTTATTTGACTTCTAACATAAAAGGTTTGCCCCATAATGAGAGAGATGGAAGGAAGAGATGGTTTTCATCATGTTATTCTCCTCCAGTATTGGCCAGGAGACAGGTGCTGACTATCAGCCAATCGGTGCTTTTCTTTCCGGGTGAGATGTAGTTTCCGTGGTGACGGTCTGGGTTTGAGCAACAGCTCTCATTTGTGTCTCGGCAGGGATGCATGACCCCAACCAGCTTTGTGTGAACACTGTCAACTCTGATACAGCAGTATTAGTGTCTGTGATGTCTTACACTGATAATCAACAGGGCAAATGCATGTCTGTTTTACGCCACCTGGTCCGTATGTTTCATTTATGGATGTTAAAATAAGGCACAGGATGGACCAGGATCCGTGTAGGTCACAGGACTCTCTCTATTTCTCTCTTTCCATATAGGAGAGTGTATTTGTGTGCATATGGGTGAAAGAGGATCTGGAAAAACTGCTGTCAGCAGTACATGAGCTCCCCATGATCTTTGTGTGCATGTGTGAACAAAACGCTAATGCTAAATCTCACATCTCAGTTAGCTGATTTTGCTGTCTACATACAGTAAAAGAAAGAAGCATCCTCAAATATTTATCCAGCTTAACATTTTTTTATTAATTATTTAAACGTTTTTGTCTAAACTAGAGATTAAACATAAGGATTAGACAAAAATGACAGATTCTGTAAAATAAATAAATAAATAGATTCAGTAAATAAATGCATAAATAAATAAAAACA